TTAGCCTGCAATGCCCCATACCTGTCTATGTCTCTGAAAGGGGGGCATTAGAGGGAATTGTTGGCCTGTTCTCCTGTAAAGGGGTTGGGGCTGCAATGATAGCGGGAAGGAATCAACTCTATCTCTATATATCTATATATTCTAGGTTTTTGAAAGCTAGAATCTGATTCCCCCCTCCTGTTTAAGGTTTCTTTCTTAACATAGATGCTTCCTTCACGCCCCTCTCAAACCACCTGTCTTCTTTGTCCAAAATGTGAACATTCTGGTCCTCTAATGAATGTTCTTTGTCCATATGGTGTAGATGTACCACAGAGTCTTCTCCAGAGGAGGGCGCTCTTCTATGTTGGGCCATGCATTAGTGGAGAGGTTGTTTGGTCCGCTCTATAAAGCCTGGAACTAAACGCCATTTCTGACTTTTTGAATTAAAAAATCTTCCTGGATGGAAGAGAAACGTCTTTAAACTTGGAAACAAAGTCCAGAGGATTGATTTATAACGCTTTCAGAATGACTGAGAATCTTTTAGAATAACATGTTTAACACCTTTAGATGAAGAAAGAAGAAAATCTGTTGGTTTAAATGATATAAACATCCTTAGAGTAAAAATAAAAACCTAAGAATGAAGGAAAGTGCAGCTAGTGCCAGAGCTGTGAGTGAACCGGGCCGGTAGTCCACTGGACTGTAAGTCTGATTGGCTGGGAGCTCCAGAAACCAGCTCCTCCAATCACCTGCAGCCTGCTGAACTGCAGAGGCTGCTTGGCAGGAAGTTCAGTAAATGTGTCTCTGAAGTGATGAATCTCAGGTCGGCGAGGAACCCAACCGTCCTGTAATCCTAATTAAGTCTGAGCGGCTCAGAAATCTACGCTCCTGTTCGGGACGTTTTCAGCTGAGTCAGCCGGGTCCAAACTCCCCGTTGTAACATAAAAAACGGTCGGAACGAGCCAATCAGAATCCCAGAGTCAGCAGCTCTGGGCCGCAGCGGCGCCGTCTCTTTAAGAAAGCCGATAATGAGGTCAGAGAGGAGACGGCGCCGTCCGAGTGACACAATGAATGGACTGATGAGTGGACGGGTGAATGGGACGCTCAGTGTTCTCTCTGTTTACTGACTCTGTGCTGCAAGGAACTCTGGGTAAAACACACAAGCTTTGTCTGTCTGTTAGGATCAGTGTGGGACTAACTGGTTCCCTAAATGATGTCCCAGTTGAAGAGGTCCTGCTGCAGCAGCATGCTGAGCGAATCCAGTGAATCGTTACGGAGACGTGACTCAGATCAAACGTGTCATAAAGGTTCTCATAACAGCGACCAATCAGAGCAGAAAACAGTCCAAGTTCACAACCAGCAGGAAAAAAAACGGCACTAAAGGCAGACCTGCTATTAGCTGGAAGTTAAAAATGGCTCCAACTGCATCCACAGCAGGATCTGGATCTGGTAGGAGATATTTCTATAATTTATACCCAGGAAGGAATGTGCAATAAACCCACTGAACCCAGAAGTGTCCTCAAGATGCCCTCAGCTGCTCAGATCCAAGGTTTAAAATGACCTCTAACCAGAACCTAAACCAGACCTCCTGCATTTATAAGGTTGGATCTCTGGATCAAAATAACCCTCTATTTATAAAGTCTAAATTACTATAATTCACTGAAAGAAAAACTAAAGGCAGCTTTAAGTCTGTTCAAAATACCAAAAAAACCTCCAGAAACGGGTCTCAACCAGAGAGAGACTGTAGGAGGTCCAGAATAAAACCAATAAACCCAGAAACTCCCAAAAAGACCATTCTAATTATTATTATTATAGTTATTAATGACTGTAGTGTGATCAAAGTCATTATTCCAAAAAAAGTTAAAATCAATCCACTGGACTTTGTCTCCAAGTTTGAAGCCGTTTCTCTTCCATCCAGGAAGATTTTTC